GTAGTTTTTAAAGGGCGTCGATGATAATCGTATTTAATATATAATTATTGTGTTAGAATTATTTGTCAGAAATGATTAAAAGTTGACGTGTGTTTTAAAAAGGAAAGAAGTATAGAAAGAAAATAAAAAGAAGATAACAATGATGATTATTAATCACGATGATCACGATGACGATAATGATGATGAAAATGATGATGATGATGATGATGGTGAAGAGAAGAACAAAAAAAACAAAAAAGAAAAAAAATAGAACAAAATAATGGAAAATGTTGAAAAAAGACGAGATACGATTGTTTATCATTATAAAAAAAAAAAAAGAAACAAACAATTAACTCTTTTGCGTGGAGATAAAAAATAACCAAGTCTTTTATTTCATTGTAATAATTTGTTCGAAAAATTAAAATTAATTACGTCGTACGTATTTAGAATCGTGTTCGAATGCAAAATAGCAAAAAAAAAAAAAAGGAGTAGAAAAGAAAAGAGATCTTAAAAATTGTACATTTTTCCTGTAAATTATTATTAAAAATCCGATCTATCGTACCTGAGAACACGCGCATACATTTGATTAAACTTGTGTGCGTGTACGTGCTATAAATAAATACATAAATTACACACGAAAACACATCATTCACATAACACAAAACAAAAACACACATATCCGGTTGTTTGCAAAAGGAAGATAAAAAAAAAGAACAGAACTAATAAAATAAATAATCTAATAAAATAATTAATTACAAAACAAAAAACAAATATAATATCTTAATAAGTGAATAATAATAATAATAATAATAAAAAAGCACATATTGTCTGATTCTCGAAGTCGGTAAGCAATAGAAAAATTAAACCGGAAAACGAGAGAAAAAAAGAACAACAAGATAAATTAATTAAATAAAATATACGTGTGTAAAATTTTTAAACAGAAACAACAAATTAATAATAATAATAATAATAATAATAATAACTATTAATCACAGAGTTCGAATTATAATGATTCTTTTGCGTTTAGGCAAATTTAATATGAGAAATGAAAAGAAATAAAATAACCGATTAATAGGAAAGAGATTGACAACAAAAAATATATTAATTACATGCAGGCATGTATTATTAGCTTCAAATTTTAGCGATATATTATTATTAATAATATGAATTATGCAAATCATATAATATGTACGTTATATATATATAAGTATTTAGCTTATTATAATAATAGGACACGAACAAAAAAATGTATCTCGTGTTACGTGCCGTCCTGAAGTTCGTAGAAATGGGAAATGAAATATGGAAAATAATTTATCTACTGGATCACATAGAATTTATACTATTTATTGAAGAAAACTTTATATATGCTTCATTTATTTATTTATTTTTTCTTTTTTTTTATTTACTCTTCCGAACAATTATTAACAATTTTATTTTATTTTAATATTATTTTTTCTTTTGTACCCTCAATATAACACAT